CCGAGTCATTTAAAAAACCTGAAAGGGCATGAATACGTGTGTGAAGGATCCAAACACACAAATGAACCAAACCAAGTGTTTCAGAGGCTCCATGGCCACTGCAGCTGGCTCACAGGTTTAGACACAAGAACATTCAGCACACCGTGTTTAAACTAACAACACGTAACCATACAGTGTGTAGGAAATAGATTTCAAGTTTTAAAAACTGAACAAGCAGTGTGTACTTTGTATACAGCTGCATTACCGCTATTTCTCAGGACAGAAAAAAAGGTTTGTTGTAAAACAGCCAAAGACATTTTTTACAACCACAACATATTGTCCACAGAGCAGAACCTGCAGCTAAATGGAGAACACACTTCTTTGTCCATCGTGGGACCTGAAGCTCCAGTAAGAGTTTTAGTACTGTGCTCCAGATCGGTTTTGCAATGAAAGAAACAAGCTGTCACTCATTTTCCCAACGTGAAGCAGCTGCTGTCCCTGCAGGCTCTCCAGCTCCAGCATGCGCTGTGTCCCATGACCCAGCACCCCCCCGCGCCGTGGAATCCCAAAATCCCTCATCTCTACACGGACACCTGAACCTACCAAACCGCAGAAGGCGTCATTCTCAGCATGGAAACGGCCCTGCTGGAGGAGCTGAGCTACCGGGCCTGAAGCGGACGCTGCTGCAGGCGCTGGGCTTCACCAGCCAGTGAGCCGATTCGGTCCGCAGGCGGACTCCCTGCCCCTTGTAGCGTAAAGCCCTCCTGGTGCACCACAAGAAATTATTACACAACGTTTGAACAGCAATGAGCATTTTATCTGAATGCAGAAATGAATACACAAAACAACCAACTGTTTTCCACTGTTCCTGCCATGTTTGAAAAGGAACTTGGAACACTACAGGGCAGGTGTTCATTTGGGACTGACTCATCTGTGGAAACCGTGCTTCCGGACATTGAACGAAAGTGTTTAGGAAAAAAATCAAAGTGAGACAAAGCAACAGGCATGAACACAATTAGAAATTAAACCTGGAAACAAAAGCGATTATGCTCTTTTCCCATGTAACATAAATATGGCTCATTTACTTCTCTACTTCTTCACAGGGTCCTCCCAGTGAGCGAGCAGCAGTGACAAACGAAATCAGGGAACGAGCCAAGCCTCTCTCTGAACACGCCAAGCCTCTCTCTGAACACGCCAAGCCCTCCACAGAAGACGCAGGTGCCGGACAGTGTGACAATTCAACCGGCATCAGATCACCTGGCAAGGATACGTATTCCATTACAAATGTCCCCATGACAAACTCCCACCATCCCTGGCTTATTTCAGACAAGTAACAGGTTTATTCCGTGCTGAAAAAAGAAGAAAGAAAAAACACGTTTCGGCCGTGGAGCCTTCTTCAGGTGTGAACTGAAGAACCTGAAGAAGGCTCCACGGCCGAAATGTGTTTTTTCTTTCTTCTTTTTTGGCAGGGACTCAGGGCGAGCTCCGGGTTCGAGCCCGGGTCCAGTCACTAGCGGGCGGTGCCTGGGAGTCCTCCCAGAGGCAGGCTGGCCACCCCAAGCCCGTCACAGCGCTGCCAGCTCGCCCACGCAGGTCTCCAGATGGCACCCCTGCTCCTGCACACTGCCCCCCTCATCCAAATTTCACGGAAGAAAATACTTCACCCTTGATATCAGTGTAAAAAATTAAAAATGGCCCTTTAGCCCTGCAGGCACTGAATAACCTTCAGGTAAATTTAATCAAACATGAGCAGGTGAATTAATGAACATTACCAGCAGGAAAAAAGGCCGAGCTGAGTGCTTACTGGGCAGTTCTGGTTGTCCCAGTTTTCTGCACTGATCGCCGTCCACATTTCTGACACAGTGACGCCTGAAGAAGGCTCCACAGCCGAAACCTTTACTTTTTCCTTTGCATCCTATGCATGCTGACATAACCACCTAATTGAACTGTGTTTTTTAAAGCATCTTTTTTTAATCAACATTCAAATAACGACACCAAACTCATTCATTTTCATTTATGTGCAAATAAGTTAGCAAAAATTGCTAAACAAAGGCAAGAGGTCTTTGGCCATTTTGTTATGACCAACATAAACTAGCTCAAAATTACTATGCCCAACTACATAATTAGTTGAGTGGCCTCAGTGCAATAATAGCAGTTCACATGATTTCAGAATAAATACACCTGTCTCTGTCAGGCTGCTCAGCCAGGCAGGGAATTTCAAACAAATGTTCGATCGTGAAAACCGCTACCTAATTCAACAGCTAAGACGGGAGAAAATGTCCCGGAGTGCACAATTTCAGTCACTCACACATTCATCCACACTCCGCAAAGCTGTGCTGCAAGGCAGGGTGGCAAAACCATCTCAAATCCCACATGGAATTCACAGCAAATCATCTAATGATACTGTCAACATGTGGCAAAGGTTTAATGGTCAGACAAGACAAAACTGGAACTTCTGAAATTATATGTTAAGTGCTGCAACAACTTGCACAAACCCAACACATTTTATCACCTAGTAAACACCATCCCCACTGTCAAGCATGTGGTAAC